GTGTGAGTGTGAGTGTGAGTGTGTGTGTGTGTGTGTGTGTGAGTGTGTGTGGCTTCCTTCCTCTTCTCGGCTGTGGTTTAGTGATTGTGTTTTCTGCTGGGGAACACGCATGAATATGAATAAATAAATGAATAATTAAACCGCTCGTTTCAGATCAACCTCACTAACCTGCAGGTGGAGAGTTCAGGAAACCCACTGAGATCTAAAAGAGATAGCTAGACTATATGAGAGGGACGAAGAAAAGGAAGTTAAACTTTAAAAATGTATAAATGTCTGTGGCATTAGTATGAGAGCTGGTTTCTGCCATGGGATAAAAACACAAAAATAACAGCGATTTTTTTTTTTTTAAATGTCAGAATTTTGACTTTTTCTCACAATTTCGACTTTGTTTCTCACAATTCTGAGAAAAAAGTCAGAAACGTGAGATATAATCTCAGAATTACAAAATAGAAACGCAGAATTATGAGATATAAACACAGAATTGCGAGATATAAATCCAGAATTACAAAATAAAAATGTAGAATTATTATAGAAAATGCAGAATTATGAGATAATGCAGAATTATGAGATATAAACTCAGCATTGAAAGATATTAATGTAAAAAATGTGAGATATTAATGCAGAATTATGAGATATAAACATAATTATGAAACAATTCAGAATTATGAGATATAAACGCAGAATTGTGAGACATTAAAGTCAAAATTGTTAAAAAGTTGCAATTCCTTTATTTTATTTTTATTTTGTGGTGGGTTTCAATACATTAGCATCACCAAAATTTGCAAAAAGTAATAATCATTATCAAACAGGTTTCCTGAGCACTGTCATTGGTCAAGACAACCAGTAGCCCCGCCCCAAACTCACGCCATTGGTTGAACCAGTGTTGCTGTTGCTGGGCAGATTGAGATGCTCAAACAAACTCTCATGCTCAAACTCTTTAATATCACCACAGAGACACAGTATTTACACTTTTCAGGGAAATCTATCCAATAATGGATTGTATTAAATTGTTATATCTCAACACTTACAGAAATAAATGGCATTAAAGCTTTAAAAATCACAACAAATTTCCGTAGAAGCATCAGTTTTGTCCATTTTCCCAAATCATACCAATTAAACTGAAGTTAAACCTCAGGTTCAGATCATTTGGACTACTCAGACTGAATTTGATGCCAGTAGTTTGTATGTGCTGCTTATCGCGTGTACTAAGATGAAATCAGTTTCCTAATTGTTTGATTCAACTCTCATGACTCGCGCAGTAGCTGGAGGAACAGCAGAGCTGATACAGATGGTGGTAAATTAAAGATGAACTACAGAACTCAGAACTAGGCCATTATTCATCGCTCAGAGACACGACAATGGTCACAGATTGGAGGAGCGTGACACAGTCCCGTTCTGGCCAGAAGATCAGTCGCTGCTCAGCACAAACTACTACAATACAGTAGATGTCGAGCCCAGTCCCGCGTCCAAACGCTCGCTCGGCGCTCGTCTGAAGTAAATAATTAGACTAATCAGCTTCTCAGATGCTTGTTGCGTAGTAACCGGCTTCTCTGTTTCATAGCCATAGCTCAATCAGGCTGTTTCTGAACTTACTTCATGATTGCATATGCACAGAGGACGCATGTTACGATTACTCAGAATGCAGTTCTGTATCAATGAAGACAATAAATCTAATAAGATGCATGCATTGCACTTTATTAAGAAAACATTCTGAGCAATGCTGTATTCATGAAGCTTTGTCTAATGTAGAATATTTTCATCTTCACATTAAATGCCTCTGCATTTGATCTGTTCTCAATTCATGTCATTTGAGTTGAACTGAAATCCTTAGTGTTAAATCAGAGGAATAATATAACAGTCATTATTACTGAAAGTTGAGGCTGGTTATGTATGTATGCCGTTTGCCTGGTAATGGTATGTAACTTCTGAAGGAGAAATACAGTTATTATTACAGCAAATGATGTATGATTTGATTCACTGCAAATAAAATTACCAAAAATGGCACAAGGCAGACTTGCTCAAAACAGGTTTTTAGTAAATCTCTCTCGATCGTTCCTTGTTTAGAGCTGTTTAAACGCTGCTTGATCTGTGCAGATTTCTCTCCTGATTCACACCAGAACACTGACTCACTGGAGGAAGCGTTATTATGGATTATAGACTCTATGTATTTGAGTCAAAAACGTAAAGTAGATCTCTCCTGGCTCTAGATCAAACTCATCTGAGTGTTTTCTTCCTCTCCAGTGAATGGATTTCATGGCAATGGCAATCCGCTGCATCAGAGTGAGCCGTCGCATGTACTGATGCGGAAGACCAGCACAGATCATCAGGTACAGCTGATCTCTCACATATGAACTAGTCCTCATTATTCATTTAGCAATATTCCCCAGGACTAGAAATCTGATTTAATCCAATAACTTCAGTATCCACAAGTCATTTTAATACGCCTCTCCATCTGTATCAAAATTCGCTGGAGATTCAAGCTGAGAAATTTATTGCATATTGATTCAGTGATGATTCAACACATGATTGATACAATGTTTTGTAGGGATTATAAAGCATTTTCTCAGTCTACCAAACTCTAATTTGATGCACAGGTGCTTGTTATCAATCCGACAGGGAACGAGTTGTAACGTATGTAACGTATCGTATGTCACATGTAACGAATAGAATGATGAAATGAGGAATGATTTCAGGAAGAACCTGAGCGTCTTTCATCCAGTTTAAGTTCTTTGAAAGATCAGGGTGTTTTTGAGGCAGTTTGTAGCAATTCAACTAGATATCCATGATCAGAGCTCCTTGGGTTCGTCCTGGTGAGCTCAGGGTGGAGATGACAGCTCACAGCTCACAGCTCACAGCACGATGATGTCTGACGCTCAGTTTTGTGTCTTCTGTCAGAGTCCCGTCTCGACTTCACCCAGCCGGAAGCAGGAGTGTGAATCCACAGTAACTGTGAGTACCACAGCTAAACCAACTCATCTCAGACGCTTGAACTGCATGACAACAAAACACACTCAAGCAAACGCACACTGTTTACTTTCCTAATGCGTGGTTCTGGATTTATTGTGCACTAATCTTTGGTGCAGGCTTTAATAATGTAAACAAAACTTGTTTTGTGTCTTCCTCTGACATCACGCAGGCCGCTGGAACGTGTTAACCAACAGGGTTTTTCAAACTATTCAGTGCTAAGGACCCGTAAATATGACCATTCCCTTGCAAGGAAACCCTTTCCTATAATATACAGGCAGCTATAGATTTTCATTTATGAAAACGGCCTTATACTGTTTGAGAAAAATATGATATTAAAGACAACAAAATTAAATGATTCCCAAAATGAATTCATTAATAAACAATTCGCTTTTATGATGTCATTGTCCTAAAGCAAACTGTTAAAATATTATCGTAAAAAAATATTATCTATTTCATTAATATCCTAAATGACCACTTTAACTGAGAAGCCTTAAAAATACATTTTGTAAAATAAGATGCAATGAAATGAAAAGGGCAGAAGGACCAAAACATCACTGTGTAAATAAACTGCTCACTGATACATTTCTGTTAATAGCATGCAATAAGAAGTACTTGAATTAATGGGATGTTTGCTGACATGGAGATCAGATAGTTGCCATCATGCTGACAGTGAGGCAGACTCTTCATTAGTCCAGCGTGCCACACTTGATTATCTTCATCAGAGCCAATGCAAACACATGGAGACTCGTTCTCCTCCTCACATTATCCAGCTTCAGCACAGCGGCATCATACGCCTCTGAGAATCTGCATCCGGAGGAACTTACGATGCTTGTGCAACCAGTCAATGCACACGCTTTATCCAGAAAAATCCAGCTGCAGACAAACCAGAAGTGAGACAGGACATTTCCTCATTTGCTGTGATGCAGATTCAAACATTAGGCAACACGGGGAGCGTTATGAGCTCATTCAGACCGAAGGAAATTTCCTCAGAGTCCGCATCACACTTTCCTCTGGCGGACGGCGAGTTCATCACAGCGGATGCAGGGGACTTACTAAAGATTTGGACATTTAAAGGCTCATGAAACCCCGTGTTTCAGCACCGCTCCATGTGCTACAAAAGTGGACGATGATCCTGATGAAGACGGGAGACAGAGACAACACACACAACTTCAGTTTCAGACAGATTCAATTCTCTCCCATTGAGTTAAAAACACAAGAAAAATTTAAGGGGGTCTGAATACTTTCCGTACCCACTGTAATGTTCAGGAAAAAGTGGACAAAAATTGTGGATAATAAATCATCACAGAAATGTTTTTATTTATTTATTTGTTTGTTTGTTTGTTTGGGGTCAGTGGTTCCCCTACAAAAATGTACCATGGTTTATTATAGTAACTGTACTAATTATAGTGTTCTGGCAAAAATATGAAAAAAAAAAAATATATATATATATATATATATATATATTATAAGTATGACAGTTGTAGTTTATGGACACATATGTATGTCTACAAAAAAAAATTATAATTAAAAGAAAAAACTATTTTAAAATAAGAATCACACTGTGAGGTATAAAGTCACATTGTGAGATATGAAATTATAATTGTGAAATTTAAAGTTACATCACAATCTTGAATGACAGTCTCAACTGCAAGATTTAAAGTCATAATTATCTAAGGTTTTGGAGTGAAAATGGCTAGTTATTGTTTCTGAATGTCTTTCATAGCACAACAGTTGTTCGTTGGCCAGAAAGCATTGCGACTCGGATCTAACCCTGACAGGTAGTTAGTTAGTAGTTAGTTAGTTAGTTAGTTAGTTAGTTAGTTAGTTAGTTAGTTAGTTAGTTAGTTAGTTAGTTAGTTAGTTAGTTAGTTAGTTAGTTGATATATATATATATATATTATAAGTACGACAGTTGTAGTTTATGGACACATATGTATGTCTACAAAAAAAAATTTTAATTAAAAGAAAAAACTATTTTAAAATAAGAATCACACTGTGAGGTATAAAGTCACATTGTGAGATATGAAATTATAATTGTGAAATTTAAAGTTACATCACAATCTTGAATGACAGTCTCAACTGCAAGATTTAAAGTCATAATTATCTAAGGTTTTGGAGTGAAAATGGCTAGTTATTGTTTCTGAATGTCTTTCATAGCACAACAGTTATTCGTTGGCCAGAAAGCATTGCGACTCGGATCTAACCCTGACAGTAGTTAGTTAGTTAGTTAGTTAGTTAGTTAGTTAGTTAGTTAGTTAGTTAGTTAGTTAGTTAGTTAGTTAGTTAGTTAGTTAGTTAGTTAGTTAGTTAGTTAGTTAGTTAGTTAGTTAGTTAGTTAGTTAGTTAGTTAGTTGTATGTGTGGTCACTAAAGTATGGTTATGGTTACTACTGCATTATCTATGTTGGTGAAATTGTGTAATATCTTGAAATAGCAGCTATTCTTTCTGTTGCCTTGACTAAAAACATAAAAACATAACAACGCAGCACATGCAACTTCCTGTAGCGCATTTCCTGTGTTTCATTAACAGTTTTTAGAAAGGAGAAAAATAAATGATTCAGTGGCTGCTTGATTCTTTCTGGCCATCAGCATTAGATCTGCTCTCAAACATGTTCGCTGTTCCATTGAATGAGCTACAGTTCACATGGGTTCACATGAAGTGTGTTTGTCCCTGAGGAGAAAGACTTGAGTCTGGGAAGAAAATGACCTTAGTGTGTGAAAGTCAGGACAGACATCTGCACTCAGCTCTTCACATGCTCTACATGTGCCACAGATGAGCTCTGTCATTCCTGCACAACTCTAATTCATTTATTTATGTGGACAGGATCAGGATTGAGGAGGAATACGCCAAAAACCTGTCGAAGCTCTCGCAGATCCCGCTGGCGGCGCAGGAGGAAGGGTACGTCAGAGGGAACAATACACTCTTATCTCCTTACAAACTCTTAGAAACCTCATGCAGTGACCTTCAGAGGAATATAATGCGTTATAAAAGAGTTTGTGACTACAGTCATGGGTGAATGGATTGTGACGGACGATGTGAAACCTCTTAAATTATGTTCTTAAAGGAACAGTTCACCCAAAAATGAAAATGTGCTCACTCTCAAGCCATCCCAGATCAGGATGAGTGTGTGTCTTCATCAGGTTTGTAGAAATGTAGCACTGCATCAGTGTCTCAGCAATGGATGCTCTGCAGTGAATGGGTGCCGTTTAAAATAAGAATCACACTGTGAGGTATAAAGTCACATTGTGAGATATGAAATTATAATTGTGAAATTTAAAGTTACATCACAATCTTGAATGACAGTCTCAACTGCAAGATTTAAAGTCATAATTATCTAAGGTTTTGGAGTGAAAATGGCTAGTTATTGTTTCTGAATGTCTTTCATAGCACAACAGTTATTCGTTGGCCAGAAAGCATTGCGACTCGGATCTAACCCTGACAGTAGTTAGTTAGTTAGTTAGTTAGTTAGTTAGTTAGTTAGTTAGTTAGTTAGTTAGTTGTATGTGTGGTCACTAAAGTATGGTTATGGTTACTACTGCATTATCTATGTTGGTGAAATTGTGTAATATCTTGAAATAGCAGCTATTCTTTCTGTTGCCTTGACTAAAAACATAAAAACATAACAACGCAGCACATGCAACTTCCTGTAGCGCATTTCCTGTGTTTCATTAACAGTTTTTAGAAAGGAGAAAAATAAATGATTCAGTGGCTGCTTGATTCTTTCTGGCCATCAGCATTAGATCTGCTCTCAAACATGTTCGCTGTTCCATTGAATGAGCTACAGTTCACATGGGTTCACATGAAGTGTGTTTGTCCCTGAGGAGAAAGACTTGAGTCTGGGAAGAAAATGACCTTAGTGTGTGAAAGTCAGGACAGACATCTGCACTCAGCTCTTCACATGCTCTACATGTGCCACAGATGAGCTCTGTCATTCCTGCACAACTCTAATTCATTTATTTATGTGGACAGGATCAGGATTGAGGAGGAATACGCCAAAAACCTGTCGAAGCTCTCGCAGATCCCGCTGGCGGCGCAGGAGGAAGGGTACGTCAGAGGGAACAATACACTCTTATCTCCTTACAAACTCTTAGAAACCTCATGCAGTGACCTTCAGAGGAATATAATGCGTTATAAAAGAGTTTGTGACTATAATGTTACAACAGATTTCTATTTCAAATAAATGCTGTTCTTTTGAACTTTCTGTTCATCTGTGAATCCTGAAAAATAAAATGCAACAGTTTCCACAAAAATATTGTGCAGCACGACTGTTTTCAACATTGATAATAATCAGAAATGTTTCTAATAATCAGCATATTATACTGATTTCTGAAGATCATGTGACACTGAAGACTGGAGGAATGATGCTGAAAATACAGCTGCACATCACAGAAATACATTACAGCTTAACACATATTCACATAGAACACAGCTGGTTTACATAAGAATAATATTTCATAATTTTTATGTTTTTTTTTAACAAATAAATGCAGCCTTGTTGAGCAGAAGAGACGTATTTCATTAACAATTACAATTCTTACTAACCCCAAACTCTCAAATAGTAGTGTGTGTGTGTGTGTGTGTATATATATATATATACAGAATTATCTTGCCTTAGCAACAGTGAGAAAGAAAACTGATGTTCAGTCTTGTAAATTTGACTCAGCTAAAGTTTAGATAGTTAAATTCCACGCACGTCTTTTATTGAAAGTGTTCCTTTGAATCGAAGCGTCGGTCTGAATGGAAAGGCCTCAGAACGGCTTGGTCTAAACATCCGAAACATCTCAGGAATGAGGCAGTCGAGGCTGATCCACTCAGCATTCAGCACTCATGACTGCAGCACTCATACGCAGACATCTAGACGAGAAAGAAAAGGGCAAGAAGAGTTACACACAAAACAAATATTTTTTTTATTTAATATATATTTTATTACATTTTATTAAATGTTTATTATATAATTTATTAAATATAAACATATTAAAATTAATTTATATAATATTATATATATATATAAATTTATTTTATATATTTTATTACATTTAATATTAATTGTATTACATTTTGTTAAATATATTTTATTATATATTGTATTAAATATTTATTATTATGTATTTATTAAATGTATTTGAAGAATATTGACTATATATAAATTATACAATTTTATTTAAATATATACATAATTGAATTGATATTATATTTTTATATAATTTATATATTACATCTTACCCCTCGTCGTCTTCTTTCAGCACGCTTGGCTCAGCTTGGGCTCAGCTGAAGAAAAGCCTGGCAGATGAAGCAGAAGTTCATCTCAAGTTCTCCTCCAAGGTGAGATGAAGCAAACGCAGGACTGCATTCAAACACCTGAGAGCAGATGTCACACACACACTGTCAGTACAGTAGGCTTACAGTACACACACACACACACACACGTATATGCATTACTAATACTGGGGCAGAAAAAGACATTCTGTAGGAGGGGCTTTTTTACTTTTGGCTTTAGGTTTTGTGTTTACCGGTCTGTCTCTGACGTGGTTCAGCTTCAGAGTGAGGTGGAAAAGCCTCTGCTGATATTTCGGGAAAACTTCAAGAAGGACATGAAGAAGTTCGACCATCACATGTCGGATCTCAGGAAGCAGCTGGCGAGCCGATCCGCCGCCGTGGAGAAGGTACTGACTGCAAAACATGCTTCATCTCTCTGTCATGTGGCCATATTTAGTCTTCATATTTAGCCTCATCTAAAGTTACGGGGATTTTTCTCATGCAAGTCCAGCATGTTTTCTGAAGAAGTGGATCATTTCCGTCTCTTGAGCCCTTCGGGTTTCTATATATATAATCTCATGCCCTTCAAACCAGTGACCTTCTCATAGAGCAACAAGAACCAAACAAGTCTCCTTCTTTTAAAGGGACAGCGCACTCAAAACAAACGGTCAGCATTCGTGTCACAGCAAATGCCATTTGTTCTTGTTTCATGATCAATCACATCATGCAAAGTTTGAATAAGCACACATGCAAATTTGGAAAGACGTGTGTGTTTGTGTGTGTGAGTAAATAACAGCATTATTAGTTTTGGGTGCACTGGCCCTTTAAGAAAGAGCATAAAGCAAATAATTAATACTCCATCGTTATAGGCATATAATTTCGGCAATATTCACTCAAAAACAATGAGGTCTACTATCAACCAGCTCCAAAATAAAATACTAATCCTGTGCTAAATGAAAGAAAAAAGTTGATAACAATATTGAGATTTGGTGGAGATTTACAAGCAATTTTTTTCATAGGCCCGTCATTTTTGAACACCACAATTGATGTGATGATGTGATAACTTAACTAAGAAAATCCTCTCCAGGTCAAAATGACCAGAACACAATATCACCAGGATTCAACTATCATCAGAAATGAATAAGTAAATATATATACAGTATCTTTGAAGTAATCATCCACATCACTGCACAATGACAGCTCTGATTTATTCAGGAGACTCTGGATCTCAACACGCAGCAGCAGATGCTTCTGAATACTTCAGCTCTAGATGATGCATGAATAAAACACGCCGTCTCGTCTCTCATAGTCTCACATTCTTCATCAGGCACGGAAAGCGCTCGCCGATCGACAGAAGGATCTGGAGTTAAAAACCCAGCATCTGGAGATCAAACTGAGCAGTAAGATCGAGGAGGACATCAAGAAGGCGCGCAGAAAATCCACGCAGGCCGGTGAGTGCAGCTTCTTCTCTGACATCCTCCGAGAGCAATCCTGAGCAACTATCAGACAGTAAACCAACACCACAAGAGATAATAATGGCTACTGAGTCACATACTGTTTTAAAAAATAACTGGCATTGTTTAGTAAGTATTCTGTTGTGAACACAGACATACATTCAATGAGTTTAATAACCAGCAAACCTGCAGCAATGTTTGAGTGTGCTGACATCTAGTGTTGCATTATGGTTATTAAAGAGGAATTTGAAAATAATAATGTGAAATTCTAGTATGAATCCGTTCTGTTACACATCGAACATCACATGCAAAGTTGTTCTTGTTTTTAAATGTTTAAGATGATATTCACTAAACACTACACATTGAACATGTTACTAAACATATTGATTTTGTTCTTCAGAAAACTGAAACTAACACTCGTCTGCTCACTTTCTGACAGAGAGCAAAATAACGGTCTTTAAAAGTAAAACAGAAAGAAGTAAATCTGCATATAACTGTAAAATGATCTAGGTGTTCGCAAACTGAAAAACACATTTGGGTTTCCACAGGAATATAGATGTTTCTTGTGTGCAGTATTTACCTTCTGCTCTCTGCTTCCGTCACAGTATCATGTTTTTCTTTAATTGCAGCCACAGCAGAACATCATCTGTTATGAATCATGAATCAGACACATGCATTCATTGCATGTTATTTAGAGATGGATAGATTAATAAAATATTATATCTATTATTATTAACAAGGAGCTGATGAACAGAGTAAAGTGCGCAGATGATGATTATTCTTGTTTATCAATATCATCCCTAAACTATGAATGTTAAAACGTTTTACAGTGATAGTGAAAATCATGTGATGTTTAAGCACTTTTATCAGTGGTATGAAAATACTGACACAAATGCTGATATTACGGCCGCTCTATGCATTTACAAATATGGAGTATTGGCACTGCAAAAATCACTGTTGGCTAACATTCATGTGGCAAAAATTAAATCTAAATGAAATAAAATCAGAAACAGATGCCACTAAACTATTTCCCTTCATTCTGCACCTTCTCTTTATTCATCAGTTCAACACCAAATCTGTGGGAAGTCTGGATGGAAACAAATTTAGTAGTATAAATTATCCCACATTTACCTTACCAGGTATAATCATAACAGTTCCCGTTGTGTGTGTCTGCGCTCCTGCTTCTGACAAACAGAGAAGCTTCTCAGCCCATGCTCTATAGTTCTGATGATGTTCATGTGTAACTCACGCTCTGTGTCCTCAGGCGATGACCTGATGCGATGTGTTGACCTCTACAATCAGTCCCAGTCCAAGTGGTTTGAGGAGATGGTGACCAGCAGTCTGGTGAGAGATTCTCTGAGTGAACGCGCTTTCACAAACACCAATAACGGCACCAATAAGAGTCAGAAAAACTATTTGATTCCATTGGAATTGATGCTTCAAATACAAGCTTGGTAAAAAAGCTACTCTCAGATCATGATGTTATAATCTTAAAATGAATGACATTTTCCACTCAGCACCTCTAAACCAATGCACTTACACACACACACACACACACACACAATAATAATAATAATAAATATATATAGCTGCAAGCAGTAATTTTGGGGCCAAGCAGAACAGAGGTAAAATGAAGACATATTTTGACCCGTAGGTGGCGCTGTGTCGAAAAATGAAGAGCTAAGGAGCTGTCTTTAATTAGCCAGGGTTGTTGTTATAAGCAGAAATGTCAATTTTTTATATATTTTGGCCAGTAGGTGGCGCTGTGCCGAAACTACTCATGTGGCCTCAGGTGATGCTTGTTATAACACATACCAAGTTTGGCCTGAATCCACTAAAGCATTGCGCAGATATAACCTCATGTCCATTTTTGCACAAACTTCATCAAATTCGAAAACTATTTGGTATATCAAAAAGCTTTTGATAACTTTTTTGCCAGAATGCTCTGAAGATGATCTGAGCCAATTTTGGTGAAAATCAGACAAACCGTCTGGACGATTTCGGAAAATTGCGCAAAAAATCTTGACCCGTAGAAATTTAAATCATGGTATGCACTCTACTCGGCATGAGCCAAGGAATCAATCAATTTTGCTTTTAGACTTTACGGTTCAAAAGTTATTAGCAGAAACATGAGTGCAAATTTGGCCTGTTGGTGGCACTAGAGAGTTTGTGTTAGAGACTCCAAATGTGCCGTGGTTAATGATGAGACTGTCCTCTATCTGTGTGCCAAATTTCATAACATTTCCACAAGCAGTTCTATAAGATTCATAACAATACGCTAAAGCGTTCGTAACATACAACATTTCACTACAAAATTCTAAATGGTCAACACTCAAAATGACTGACATGGGATAGTTGGGTATCGTTTGATTCTGTATGTCGCTCCTAATCTAACGAGGTCAATCGTATGATTTTTTAGTCAAAATGTTCAGCAATTTTTTATTTTATTTTGACCAGTAGGTGGTGCTGTGTTAAAACTACTCAAGTGCCCTCAGGTTATGCTTGGGAGAGTAGGTGCCAAGTTTGGTCAGAATCTGCTAAAGCGATGTGAAGATATAGCTTCATGTCCATTTTTGTGTGAATTTTGTCAAATTCGTTAGCGTGCTTTACGAGAACGGTTTGGTCTATCGGAAATCTTTTGATAACTTCTTGGCAGCATTGTCTGAAGATGATCTGAGACAATTTTGGAGAAAATCGGACAAACCGTCTAGGACGAGTTTGAAAAAGTAGATTTTTCACAAAACTCTAAATTGAGAAAATCTTGACTGTAGAAATTTATTGGAAAAAAATAGTTTTGTAATACACTCATGATAATGACAGAAGTTTTGTTGAACGTAGTGATTCTTTGTTAAAAAATAAATAAATAAAAATTGCACACAAACACCAAATGAACTGATACACTGTATGAATGTTAAAATCCAAAGAAAAAGTGCCAAGTAAAATATTTCCAGATTTCAACAGCTTTTATAAGTGTATGGTAACACTTTGCAATGTTACATCTGTTAATATTAGTTAAATACATGAGTTAACATGAACTAACAATGAGAAAAAGCTCTAAAGCATTTATTCATCTTAGTTAGTTTCAAACTTTACTAAATCATGTTCACTAAACATTATTAAAGTTGCATCTGTTAATTTAATCGACGTGAGCTGACATGAACAATGAACAGCTGTAGTTTTATCAATTACCATTAACAAAGCTGAATATGCATTGCTCACTGTTAGCATATTAACTAATAATAACTAGTGGGACCTTATTGTAAAATGTTACCATTTGTGTAATAATGAAGTTGTGTGATGTAGGAGAAGAGCACAAAACAGAGACATTCTGGATTTTTCAACACTTTAAAAGTAAAGATATGCAAGTAATGAGACTGTGATTAAAAAATCAAAAGCATTTTCTCCTAAAAACTCCAATAAAGCAGAGAATCTCCACATGTCTGGTTCCTGACAGGAGCTGGAGCGTCTGGAGGTGGAGCGTGTGGAGATGATCAGGCAGCACTTGTGTCAGTACACCACACTACGACACGAGACGGACATGTTCAACCAAAGCGTGAGTTCAGAGCGCCTCGTTCACACTCATTCACACCATTACCTGCAGATGATGAGTAACCACAGCCTGCCGTTTGATCTGCAGACCATAGAGCCGGTGGACAAACTGCTGCGGAGCGTCGACCCCGCCAGAGACCGAGAGCTGTGGGTCAGAGAGCACAAGACGGGCGAGCTGAGACCGGTGGACATGGACATCTGACTCCATCAGACTGTAGCCTGTCGTCCTACTGAGGGTTTGATCTCTCTAAAACCTTCTGAAGCCTAAACCAGCGGAGAACGATCAGGACTCAAACCGAGCAGAAGCTTGAGAAAGAGCCGAGCTTATACGCCCTTCCCACTAACAGTAGCACACAAGTGGCAAATTTTGAGAGGAAAAGGCAAAGACTGAATATCTGCAGGATTTCACTCACGAGAACAGATGTGTTTGTCATCTACTGATGCAATCATGCCATTAGGATTCAGCACTGATTGAACTGAGTTCATACATGTGAAATCGTACTAATATATACTGTAAATGCTGCTGCTGCTGCATCAACTATTACAGCTGATTTCAGTTCTGACTAATCAAAGCTCTCGCTTCCCTTAAAGGGACAGTTCACACAAAAATGATCATTTGCGCCACCTTCATGTTCCAAACATGTACGAGTTTCTTTCTTTTGTTGAGCACAAAAGAAGATATTTTGAAGAATGCTGGTAACCAAACAGTTGACGGTAGCCATCGACTTCCATAGAATAGAAAAAACATGGAACTAAACAGTTGACGGTAGCCATTGACTTCCATAGAATAGAAAAAACATGGAACTAAACAGTTGACGTTCGGTAGCCATTGACTTCCATAGAATAGAAAAAACATGGAACTAAAGAGTTGACGTTAGCCATTGACTTCCATAGAATAGAAAAAACATAGAATAGAAAAAACATAGAATAGAAAAAACATGGAACTAAACAGTTGACGGTAGCCATTGACTTCCATACTATGGAAAAATACTATGGAAGTAAATGGCTACCGGCAACTGATTTTATGTTCAACAGAAGAAAGAAACTTACACAGGTTTGGTACTACTTGAAGGTGAGCAAATTATGAAAGTATTTTCTTTTTTTGGGGGGGTGGATTATCACAGAATGAACACATTTAACTACGTAATGTGATTTATTTCTGAGTAAAAGCATCATATTCAATGAGAGAAAAGAAATGTACTGTACCTGTTAGGAATTGTAAAAGGAAATGGGAGTTACTTACCAGAACGAACGTCGAGAGGAAAGCTGATTCAGGCAGAAAAACTCAATCACATTTTGATGAAATTTGCCATTGACTTCCATAGAATAGAAAAAACATGGAACTAAACAGTTGACGTTAGCCATTGACTTCCATAGAATAGAAAAAACATAGAATAGAAAAAACATGGAACTAAGCAGTCGACGGTAGCCATTGACTTCCATAGAATAGAAAAAACATGGAACTAAACAGTTGACGGTAGCCATTGACTTCCATAGAATAGAAAAAACATGGAACTAAACTGTTGACGGTAGCCATTGACTTCCATACTATGGAAAAATACTATGGAAGTAAATGGCTACCGGCAACTGATTTTATGTTCAACAGAAGAAAGAAACTTACACAGGTTTGGTACTACTTGAAGGTGAGCAAATTATGACAGTATTTTCTTTTTTTTGGAGGGGTGAATTATCCCAAAATGAACACATTTAACTACGTAATGTGATTTATTTCTGAGTAAAAGCATCATATTCAATGAGAGAAAATAAATGTACTGTACCTGTTAGGAATTGTAAAAGGAAATGGGAGTTACTTACCAGAACGAACGTCGAGAGGAAAGCTGATTCAGGCAGAAAAACTCATCACATTTTGATGAAATTACACGTTTGTCCTTTGGAATAACAGATGAATCATGTAAGACCACTCCAAACCTGATGAAGACACAAACTCATCCTGATCTGGGATGATCTGAGGGTGAGCACATTTTCACGTTGGCTGAACTACTCCTTTAAATCCGATCTGGAATGTAAATCATTTCTATGTCAAACTTTACTCCACATAAATGGTGATCCTGGCCAGGTGCCGTAGCAGTGTAAACACACATGCATGCGTGCCAGAGTCTTCACTGATATATCCAGCCAGACAACCAGCATGAATCCCACCAGGACACATCACATTTTTTTTCCAGGATTTTAAATCATTATTTAATTTTAAAGTGAATGTGGACTTTAATTCTAAAAGATCCTTATTTGTCTTATTAACTGTGTGTATAACTGAAGCTGACCTCATTTAAAGTTCATCCAAAAATGAACATTAGCTGCCCGAATATTAACCTCAGACACTGACATAAACCAGTCCGGCTGCTGGTTTAGTGTTTAATCTCCAACACAGAAGCGCAGTCAAACATCTACAACAACAAAATATTTAAAAGTATAGCATATTTTCCACGATTACACAGAGATTTCCATCTTGGTATACTGTACAGGTTTTGGTGGCAAACTTTATTGGCGCCATCTATTGAAAGTACAAATGAACTGAAAACGTTTTCTCAGCGAATGCATTGAAAAGTATTAGCAAACGATACATCATCGAAATGCATGCAAACAGATTTAAGTGCTAAAAATATGAAGCAATAAAGTAATAAAAATGTTATTAAAACATTAATTATTCATTAGCAAAAATATTTTGGAAATACAAACAGGCTTGCTTTGAGAAGGAATATGGGTCTATATAGACAACAGGCGCTGAGGTGAAGGATGTTAATTATCTTGGAAAAATATTTTTTGTGTGCGTGAGTGTGTGCGTGTGCAAGTGAGTGAGTGAGTGAGTGTGTGTGTAATCTCTCTGTTTGTTATAGGATCAATATCACATGGCTGACAACTGAGCCAAACTCCCAGTGACTGACATTAATCACATTCTGTAGTGACACGCAGCAGGAGCCACTCTCCCCCAATGTACTTTCTAAAATTCATCACCGTTTACTGCTGTACCGAGAGCTGATGCAGCAGCGCAGCTGAATTATACTCTATTCTCCTCTGTACACCACAATATTTTTGTCCGTTTCATATATTCTGATCTCACACAGGCTGGCGGGTGGCAGAAGCTTCCCCATACTGTCCCTAATAAACACGGACAGGTTTTCTGTGGTGCTGCATGAAACAAATAAACAGCAATATGTCTTTAAACGATTGTATTGTGACAGAAATGTGACAGAAAAACAGAGTCACACCTGACGACATCAGCAAGATACGGCACATCCAGATCCAGATTTTTATGGTCAAGAGGTTTCATGATGGCCTCCTAACACACAAAACGTATTAACAATGTTTGCATATGTACATGTGCACATGCTTTCATACATGGATTAAGGCAGCTTTTCGCCATATGTCATGCATTTCTTTATATTTGCAAGAAATATTCTTATAGTTTCAAGTCACTGTAGAATGTCTAGAAAAATGTTAAAAAGCAAGAAATTTCACTTTTTACAAACACTCACTCACACACACACTCTCACTCTCTCACACACACACACTCTCTCTCTCTCACACACAC